GCCTTTCCCGTTTTATATTACCATATGTTCTGCAAATAGCTCCTTGGACGACATGGATGTAGTCAGTCTGAACTCATCTCTAAACAGCAGGCCCACCCAAATATCTTTGCTATCGCTCTGAAGTTTTTCGACTTCAATGGTTGGTTTCTTACAAATTTATTATGTTCCTAAGAGGGACGTAGACTGTCCGTAAAATTTAAGCCGCTTGCATTCTTCAACTCCAAAGATGGAGGCCCCTAAGCGAAGAGAGAAAAGAAACAAATAGTGTTACCAGTTGTCTTATTTTCAAACGGCTGAATACAGCATGGGTGAGCTGAAAATAGGAAGATACTCATTAAAAGATGGCGCCAAATATAACATTCTAAGCCCTGCGGGCCACGGCGAAGTGGTGAATGAGAAGGAAAAGAACGTGACCAATTTAAACAATGCTGGCTACTTGACATACTCTTGCGTAGTTTTCTTATTGAACGATGCGATGCCAAGCTTTAATTTTGGCGACGCGAAATAAAGGGTCAAGATTAGTCACGCACTCACGTGCTCTCTGCACCAAAGGGTGTTGAGCTATGGCTACGTATGAGATGTAGCAAAAACATTGAATGGGAAAAGTGTGGGGATAGATCACTACAAATTCATACAGCTGATTGTGATCCCGGCTCGAAGTTACGGTATGATATTTCTCTAGTTTGGGTCTGATGCCACTCAGTTATTAAACTGCTATGATCTAATGGTTCCGTGCCTTCAGCAAAGCCAACATCTTTTTTACTTTTATTCTATCATTTTTAAGTTAGAGGCTGCAGTCTCCTGATGTGAATTCCTTATTTTAGCAAAATCCTCCTTTATAAGTCTCCTTAGAGCATTTTGAAACTGTTGAATTGCGGCCAGTATCTTTTTGTAAATTCCATCTGATTGAGTTCTCTAAAGACGGATAAACTAGCTTGTTCTGCTTTTTTTTCATAAGCCAAACGTTTTTATACCACAGATGTATCTACACTATTTCGCCTATGGTCGTTGAATATTCCCACTGATATAAGTAAGCAATACGTCTCCATTCAATTTTACATAGCCTTACTTCCTAAAAGATATTCTCATCCAGAGTAGACTTCAGTTTTGACCTCGCCTACTTCTCAGCTCCCCAGTCAG